AATACTTTACCTGGGAGGTACAAAACAAAACTCAAAGCGTTATCGGTTGCCCATTCATGGCTTAGCAATTACTCATTTGTTGACAAACTAATTATTGGGAATGTTATTCTCCATTCAATTCGTTTTGTTTTAAAAATTAAGATAAGGTTGGCAAAGCGTTGATGGCGAAATGGGGGCAGATTCTTGGGGACAAATCACACGGCCCATCATGCAAATACTTTTCACTTCATGGACCCATGACAATGATTTTTATCTTTTATTTTTTTTTTTTTTTGGGGAATATCTATAATCATGGCCCATCTTATAAGACATTCAGAATGGAGATAGTCTCTACAAAACACAATTAGGCTTTGTATGTTTACATGGGCCAAATGCCTTGGCGAATCTTTCATATATTGGTTACTTCTCAGAATTGAGTAGGATTTGCCATGGTTAAGAGAATATTTTTTTAGTGGGAATACAACATTTTATTCTTTGTGTTAGAGAGGGCCCATTCATATATTCATTCTTTTCTTTCTTTGTTTTTTTAAAAAAAAAAAAAAAAAATTTACGGGTACGTGATGAGAATATAAGTGTCATTTAATAGGTACTGTCTTAAAATACGTAACACCCAAATTATCCTCACGGACATATCATTTGACTTCAATCAAGGGTTTATCTATTTCCGTCCATCCACAAGTCCCTTGAGTTGCAAGGTTCGCCAGAATATCTGCAACATTATTTTGCTATTGAAAAATGTGGTAAACCAATAGGTCCCAGTCTCTACGTACATGCCATTTTTCAAATTGGTATTGGGCTCATTGGGTGTGTTCATCTATTTAGTCGAATTAACATTGAAAAATCTTTAATATATTGAGTTAAAATAGAGTCTCAAATTGTTGCGAGATGATGGATTGCTTTCTTACCTATAGAATTTGCAACTTAATTGGTATGCGTGTGTTGGGCATTCCGCCCATTGGATTACACTCTCTTGTAATAGTAAAATTGATGTGATATGACAATTTTTTGTTTAGTCATTGTATTTGATTCTATAATATCAATAACTTAGAGTTTTACTTAAGAGGTGCTTTTAAGTTTATATTAAATATTATATTCGTAATCTAATTAATTTTTTAAATCTAATTCATGTTATATATTTAATAAATATTTACGTCATATTCAATAATAGTTTTATGATTTATAGTCTCAAATATGAATTATATATATTATTTTTCTTTTTAGATTATATTGGATGAACTTAAATCAATGTTAAAAACAATGTAAACTACGTAAACATAATAAGTTGCTGATGGTTTGTTCTACCGTTACGTCCACGGCTTTGGAATGTTCGATTTATAATATTGCACCAAAATGACACGCATCTATAATATATATATATATATATATATATATATATATATATATATATATATATATATGTATGTATGTATGTATATATTTCCACACACATGCACACAAATAAATAAAACAAAGCATATTGCTTTCTCAGCTCCGTTTTTTTTCTTTATATATATATATACACACACACACACAACATATATATATATATATATATATATATATATATATATATATATATATATATATATATATATATATATATATATTCCCACACACATGCACACAAATAAATAAAACAAAGCATATTGCTTTCTCAGCTCCGTTTTTTTTCCTTTTTATTTGGTTTCCCATCAATTATGACAATATTATTTGTCTCAAATAAGTTGTTATAGATCATATATAATATTCCTTAAATTGACTCTTAATGAGAGCGACTAATTTTCTTCGTAAAGGATGATTAAGTGGGTGGAACATGATTTTTGTACTAGAAGATCATGAATTTGATTATTGTCAACACCTTCTCAGAGTCTTGGTTAAGTCTGTCGAACACGATCTTCCTAGTGTGATTTAGGTCTCTTTGTGTGATTTGAGGGTTATTATATGAGAGTGGAGTTTACCTAGTGCACACCTCCCGAATATAATAGTGGTAGTGGTAGTGAGCGACTGTACTTCTTTATGGTTTGTAGGTTTACTCAATGTACACCCTCGTATAGTGTGATAGTGGTTTTAGACGGGCTGTATTTGATTATGTGTGGTTTATGAGTTGTTACACATGCATTAATACGTTTATCCGATGCACACCTTCGAGTAGTACTGTAGTAGTAGTGGTTGCAGGTGCACTTTCCTCGTTATCCTCACCATCAAAAGAAATTATACAAATTTTGATATAAACGATATAACAATAACATCATTGATAATTATTTTTGATAACATGATCCTTTAAATCTGATTGATATATATATATATATATATATATATATATATATATATATAGTCACTTTAAAAGTTTTTATTGATATGAAGCCGAATTATTATTAGATCTAATTTGGTGAGCTATCCTCACCGATACTTATTGCTTTTTTCATATATAAAACTTTCACATGAAATCTTATTTGAAAAAATCGAACTCATTTTGTTCGGATTATTTGTTGTTGATATCATTTCCTATAATTAAGTATTAGATATTATTTTGTAAGGAAGATAAAACAGAGGAGATTCGCTCCATTATTGTGCATGGAAAGTGCTTAGCATTATCAAGTTTGGTTCATGGGATGCTCCCTTTGTTGTTAGTTGTTACGTGTTTAATCAATTTGTAGTATTCAATATGGTTTACTATGAATTACAAAAAATAATCCATAAAGAGAGGCATGCAAAAAGGCCTGCGGGCACTTGGCTTAGGCATGTCTTGGACGGTCGAAACTTCCCAATATCGTTAGATGTACGTAAGAAAAAGGCAAAGCAATAAAGAATTGGTCATTTGGTCAATGCAGGTTTGAAAGGCAAATAATAAAATATTTGAATCTAATTAAGTTAAAATATCATGTTGTTCCGCATTAACTATTAAATAACATTACTTCTCCTTTCAAAAAAAAAAAAATAATATAAAATTAAAGGTGTGTTTGGTTCATGAGTTTACACACTAGGAATGAGAATCAAAATCATAATGAGTGTTTGGTTGACAAATTTTTAGTACACAATTATGATATTTGATTACCCCTTCAATTAAAAACATCATTTCCTAATTACAAATATATCATTCCATCTCATTGGTGATATCATTTTTAAGTTTGGATTAATATTTTTATATCTATGTTTTGATTTTTTTGTTCATATTGGTATTTTGGATATCATTATATTATAATCAATTTCCTTAATTTTTTATTTTTGTATTTATAAAACTTTATTCCCATTATAAGATTATACATAACCAAACATCAATATTAGTAATCAGTCCAATTCAACCTTACTAGGAATGGCAACGGGGCGGAGAGTATACTCCCTATCCTCGTCCCCGCTACCCCGACCCCATCCCCATTCCCGTCCCCGCGGGAAATTTGGCGGGGGCGGGAAATCCACATCCCCAGTCAACCATAGTCAAAAAAGGAATTCAAGATAATATCACTGCTTTCTATGATTTTATTTAATATTTTACCATTTGTTTTGTATTGTGTAGAATCATATACTAATCAAATGAGTAAGATTATGAAACTTAACACTAGTTTGAGATTATCAAAATTAATGATACAGTATTAAATAAGTTACAGTATAGTACAGTGCAAGCAAATTGAAATCTCTTAATTCTAAATTCTAATAATCTAATTCATAATATATATATATATATATATATATATATATATATATATATATATATATGTGTGTGTGTGTGTGTGTGTGTGTGTGTGTGTGTGTGTGTGTATGGGATGGAAATGGGCGAGGGCGGCAACTGCCTCCATTGTGGATCCGCCTCTAGAGAGACAAGTTTCTTACATTTATATGAGACTCTTCAAATGATACAAAAAAAAAAAAATGTAATTAAATAAATTGGTAGATTCTCATATAAGTTACCCAGGAAAAAAAAAAATCCTTCCTCCCATATATGGGATTTACTTCGATATCATAGAATTAGATTCACATTATCTTGAAGTTTTCCAAGTCAAAAATTGCACCAAACATCGATATAATTTTTATACCTTTTAAATTCCTACGAAGATTTGATATTCTTGTTTACCAAACATCCTCTATATGAAAACTTTTTCTTGTCCAACCAAACATTCCCTAAGAGTTTATTCTTTCACGTTTGGTCGTACAACTTTTAAACTATTTCTACATTTAATCCTTGACTATTACATTTTTAAGAAATTGGTCCCTCAATTTTTAAAATATTGTCACATTTCGTCCTATAACTTTTAAAACATTGTCGCATTTGTTTTTTTACTCTAATTTTCAGTCACCAGTGATCAAATTTGTATATTTATGTTATTGAACATGAGTGTATAATGTCAAGTGACTTATTTTGAAAGATAAAATTGTCATTTTCTGTGTTTTTTAACTAAAAAATTTAGTCACCAGTGATGGTAAATTAGGCAGAAAGGTCAAATTTGGCAATGTTTTAAAAAATTTGGGATCAATTTTGAAAAAAGTTAATAATTAAAAATCAAATATGGAAATTATATAATAATTGTGGAATCAAAAATGGAAAAAAAAAGAAGAAAAAAAAAACCCACACACTAATATTGAAAATTGTTAAGTATAATTTTTTATTTATTAAATTTAAAATATGATATTAATGATTAAAGTTATATGTTGACTGTAACGGTTGAATATTACCCGCATCCGTATCATTCATACGAGGTGAAAATAGGGTAGAAGTTTATTCCTTGCAGGGTGCACGGAAATTGGGTGGGAATGGTGGGGCGGGGATATTGCCATTTGCCATTCCTGACCTTAGAAAGTAAACTAAAACTCCAAAGGCAAACACCCAAACACGACTTTAAAGCTTTGCAACGGCAATTTGACGACAGGCCAGTAGGCCACGGATACATTAATTGGAAAAAAGGAGCGTCTGGGACGGGAAGCGTGGACCCCACAAAGTCCAAACCGACAATAGAGGTCATGAAAATCCAAGTCACATTTCGCATTTTGGCAGCACACTTATTTGCTTGCAGTCATGAAGTTCGACGTACCTCTCACTCTCATGACTTGTGTGAAAATCTTCCTCTCTCCTCCCCACAATCCTCGCCACCATGTTAGCACATATGCCCTTCCATTTTTCTCCACAGATTTTGCCATCTTCCATTGTTTATGCTGCCTGCCTGCCTAGTAGTTAGTGCTTTTTCTTTTGCTTTCACTTGCGTATCATCATGAAATTCATCCCTATAAAGCTACTTTAGTTGGTTTTCCATATAGTTTTTGGTTTTCAGTTTTTGTGTATATAGAACAATGTTTGGGTTGGGTTGGATCTTCTTGGTTTCTCTATGTGCCCTCGTATTCAGTTTTCCTGGGCAAATGGCCAAGCTGATGAACAGGTAAAAAAGTCTGGATTTTTCTCTGATTTTTTTAGAGCTCTGTGATTTATTTATTTTTTCTGATTGTGGGGGTTGTTTCATGGCTCTTGCAGATTGAAGGGCAGGAATGATTTGCGAGTTTTTGAGGCGATTCGTTCCGGAAAAGACGATGATGATCAGGAAGTTTACCGGAATTTCACGGGTTTTGAGTTTCTGCAGACTGAACTGATTGCCGGCACTAGCCAGGATCAGTTCATTTCTGGAAAAGATGACGACGATCAAGAAGGAGTTTTCCGGAGCTTCACGGATTTTGAGTCCAATGTTGTTCTGCAGAGTGAACTGGTTGCGAGTTCCAGCAAGTATCAGTTCGTTTCTGGGAATGATGTCAGGGGATTCTTGAAACAGCCTGAAACGAAAAGGTTTACGGTTCAAGAATTGTTTGTTTGTCCTGAGAATGAGAAGGGTCTAAATCTTGATTACGGTGATACGCAATTTCAAAGAAGCAATTTAGAAGAAGAAAAAGTGACGACTACATTCGATGAAGATTCCGATCATTCTGCGGTGGACGTTGATGGCGATCATTTTATCCACGATTCGCAGTTTTCTTCCGATGATGATCCTGGAGCGGCAGAGAATATCATTTCCGTCGAAAAGCCTAATTGCCCAGAAGAAGAAAATTCACTGTCCATAGAACCAAAAAGTTGCATTTCTATAGCCGAGGTTGATGATCAAGAAAAAGCAAAGGAAACCATTTCTGTTGCAGCAAAGGTTAATGATCAAGAAAAAGCAGATGAAACCATTTCTGTTGTAGCAGAGGTTAATGATCAAGAAATTTCTGTTGTAGCAGAGGTTAATGATCAAGAAATTTCTGTTGTAGCCGAGGTTAATGATCAAGAAATTTCTGTTGTAGCAGAGGTTAATGATCAAGAAAAAGCAGAGGAAGCCATTTCTGTTGCAGAGGTTAATAATAATCAAGAAAAAGCAGATGAAACCATTTCTTTAGCAGATGTTAATGATCAAGAAAAATCAGAAGAAACCATTTCTGTAGCAGAGGTTAATGATCAAGAATCAGCAGAGGAAACCATTTGTGTAGCAGAGGTTAATGATCAAGAACCAGCAGAGGAAACCATTTCTGTAGCAGAGGTTAATGATCAAGAATCAGCTCAGAGCAGAGATAAAACTACAGATGTTAATGAAGGGTTCATAGATTCAGAGCCGCCATTGCAGAATTCAAGTGATATCCGAGTTCCAGAACACAATATGCAGAGTGAGGAAATGAGATTCCCAGATGAGCATAAGAGAACTGAAGCTCAGCAGCTGAACCAGAGCTTCTGGGACTCGGATTCAGACGAAGAAGAAGAAGACGACGAACTAGACATCTTGTTGCAACACCAGAACTTAGTACAGCAGATCAAAATGGAAATGAGAAATTCAAGAATCAGATGCCTGCCTACCATCTCAGAAGAATGCGAAACTCCAAAGATGGCTGATGATCTAAAGCCACTCAAAATCGACGAAAAACTCGAGTACAAAGACCAAATGGGAGAAATCCAGAAGTTCTACAAATGCTATGCAGAAAAAATGCGAAAACTGGACATTCTCAATTACCAGACCTTAAACGCCATCAGTAAGTCTCAATCTTCTTCATTTCACTTTATGCAGTTTAAAAAAAAAAAAAAACTTCTAATTACCACAACAGTTATAGTATGATTGTTATTAATTATTATTATTATTATTATATTCGCAAACCGTTGAAAGAAAACAAAATTGCTTAGTGGGTTTCCATCACCTAAAGACACTCTCTAATGTTCATAGTCTTTCTTTCAATATTATTTTCAGTAGGGTCAATGGTCTAATCAACAACTTTTTTTTTATTGCAATCTTGCCGACTTTTCTTAATTTCCACTTTGAGTGGTCCAAGAGTCGGTGTCTTTCCTGTTAGTGCAAATCCCATGTCAACTTTCTTTATGTTTTTGAATTTTGACTATGTAGAATGATGACTAGATGTCTAGATCCGACCTGTTTTTGATGATCAATGTAGGTTTCCTGCAGTTGAAAGACTGTGAAACATTTACATTGGGCAAAAAGTCATTGTTTTCGTCGAACAAGCTTTTAGCATTGCCAAGCCTGTGTGGGAACAAGCTAAGAAGGATTTATGTTGATCAAACACACAAGTCCATCTCTGAGCTGAGCCACAATTTGGAGGTGGTTTATGTTGGACAAGCTTGTCTGTCATGGGAGATACTGTGTTGGCAGTATGGCAAAACGAAGGAGCTTTTGGAATACGATGCCCGGGGGGGCCATCGTGCCTACAACCATGTCGCGGGGGAATTCCAGCAGTTTCAAGTTCTACTGCAGCGGTTCGTCGAGGATGAGCCTTATCAGGGGCATAGGCTTCAGTACTATGCTAAAAACCGATGCATTCTTCGCAGCTTTCTCCAGGTTCCTGCTCTTAAAGGTAATTAAACATTATTTATTTGTTCATAAGTTCTGAATTTTGAACTCTCTGACCTGATCTCTAGCATGGTTATGAGGGTAGGTTCTGATTATTATTCTTGATCTGCAGATGATTGTTCTAAGGAAAAGAAGGTGGTGGGATTTGAAGAAGGAACAGATAGCATTTCACTTGTGAAGTTGTCTGAAATCATTAAGAAAACAATGCATACATTCTGGGAATTTCTCCATGCTGATAAGGATGAAGCTGGTTTGTCTGTAAAGGTTCATAGTTCTCATGTTGATCCTGCAGATTCTGAGCTTCTTTTGGATGTCACAACAACTCATCAAAAGGTTTGCTTTTCAGTTTATGACACCAAGACTACACATTTATTATTTTATATAGAGAAAGGGCTAATTTCCCACGAAGTAGACGGAATATTGTCGGAACCCTAACGACCTGATATTACATGTCACAAACATAGTTTTGGATTTCAATACACTAAAGTTACATGTTGATATGCTTAATTGTAACTTTTAAAATTTCGAAGGACTAATTGACTTCTATGATATAAAGTTCAGGGGTGTATTTGACAATTTTCTCTATATATATTATATATATTATGGTGATGGTAATATTTGAATGATTTGCAGAAGGAGAGGAAACTGAAGGAAATACAGAGGAGTGGGAACTGCATAGTGAAGAAGTTCCAAAAACAGCAAGAAGGAAGAGTGAATGAAACCCAGGCGGTGTTCATTTCTCGAGTGGAACTCAGACTGGTGGCCAAAGTCCTAGGTTTGCCCAGGTTAACCAGAGACCACTTAGTATGGTGTAAAAAGAAGCTAAACAACATTAATATAGTTGGTAGAAAGGTTAGTGTAGAGCCCTCTTGCTTGCTTTTCCCCAGTTAGAACTTAGAAGCTCCACTTTTGAGGTGCTTTTTTTCTTGCTCTGTATACAGAACTGATAAATACTCAAAACATCAAAACTAGAAACATGTCAACAGATAGTGAACTTCCCAAAAGTTTAAGGATGCAATAAAGCTTGTTATGTTTCAATCAATTCCTTGTTGGAATTGATGAACAACCGCAATTGGCTTTGATGCTTTCATCTCCCATGGCGTTAAATATAACTGCTTAAATTTATTACGAGGTCAACTAGACACATTATTCAATTGCCAAAGACTTTGTTGTCAAGCAATATAACTGTAATTCTCTCAAATGGGAGATCACAGATTTCCCAATGATAACTTTAATATGTACTTGAGAAAATATGTATAGACAGATATTACATTATAACATAGTCAGTAGTAAAAAAAAAAAAAAAAGCATATTCAATTATTGATAAAGTTGAGTAATAGAATGACTTTGAAGTTTGAAGTCAAAGCCACTTCACCTTACCTACAAAAGGTGAAATTCCTTTGTCCTATTGAGCAAAAGGATCACTGCTTAATATTCACAAATAGCCAGTCACATTAAGTGAAACTTTAATAATGTATGTTCACAAATAGTCGATCACATTAAGTAAAACTTTTTTTTTGAATACTACTTACTCTATTACATTCATTAAGTGAAACTTTAATAATATGTTTTTATTCACAATCTACTACTCAAGAACTAATCAGAGCATATTCACTTCACTTACAGCACGTTTGGTTCACGGAATGAATTTTGAGGTAATAGGAATGCTATTCCATAAGGAATAGAATAGGCAAGGAATAGAATAGGATTTGTATTCTATTGTTTGGTTCGCGGAAGGAATAGACTTTAGGAATTATATTACAGTGTTTGGTTGATTTAAGAAATAGAAATGAAATATGTTTTAAAAGACAAAAATACCCTTATAAAAATATGTGATGGTGGCGATGGTGACGGTGGTGGTGACGGTAGTGGTGGCGGTGGTGGTGGTGGTGCTGGGGTGGTAGTGGTGGTGGTGGCGGTGACAGTGGTGGGGCGGCGGCGGCGGTGGCGGTGGTGGGGGCGGCGGCGGCGGCGATGGTGGTGGCGGTGGCGGTGGTGGTGATGGTGGTGGTGGCGATGGCGGTGGTGGTGGCGGCGGTGGCAGTGGTGGGGGTGGCGGTGGTGGTGGGGGCGGTGACGGTTGTGGCGATAGTGGTGGTGGTGGCGGCGGCGATGGTGGTGGTGGCGGCGGCGGTGATGGCGGCGGCGGCGGTGATGATGGTGGTGGTGGCGGCGGCGATGATGGTGGTGGCGGCGGTGATGGTGGTGGCGGCGACGACGGTGGTGAAATAGGATAAATTTATATATATGATTAAAAAAATTAGGTTAAAGAAAGGGGTAAAAAAGGAAATAGATTCTAAAATCTATTCCTGAGCGTTCAGTAATAGGCTAATACCAGGGGGCCCTAGTAATAGCTATTACCTTATTTGAGGTAATAGACTATTACCAGGAATATTATTCTTAGTAATATAAATGGTTACCAAACAACGGAATAAGCCTATTACTGGGAATGCTATGCCATTTCTGGTCTATTCCGTGAACCAAACGGGCCATTAGTAATAGTAAGGAGGGGTATGAGGGCATGCCAGCCGAATAAATTGAAAAAACAAACCAAACTAACAACTGATTCAAACGGAAACCGGAACTATGGGTTTGGTTTAAATCAAATCCAAATTTCTTGATATGGTTTTGATTTGACTTATACCCAACCCAAAATCTAGCCGAAAGCAAAAATATCAACAAATTGAATCATAAGCCAAACTATAAATCAAAATTTAATAAACTATGTCATTTTATAGAGATATATAAATTTTAAGAAAAATATTATCTTTTTTCTAATAAGTTTCTCACAATAATTTTGATTCACGATACTTCAACTTATCTTTAGAACTCTAAAGCTTACATAAAGGGCATTCCTCGTAAGTGGTTCTTGTCCTATTTTTTTTGGGAAAGATGTTGATTTTGAAAAGAGATGAGGAGAAAAGAGGAGGAAAAAAAAAATCTCTTAAACCAACTACAACAATCTTATTTAGTATATAAAAGAGTAGTCAACGGGCATATCTGGGTGATAATCACCTCAACGCTTTAATTATCTTTTTATTTTTTTTTTCACTTGACAAATAGAAAAATTCCAATTGAAATTTTATCACTATAGTTGCTACTACACCAAATTAAAAGGGATATGGATTTTAATATGCGCCACACCAAATTATATTTCCTTTCTTATTTCTTCATTTGCAAGGCTTAAGAAATTAGACAATCTTGTTTTGATTATACTTAATATAATAGTCTAATAGATGTCCAATTTTGATTTAATTTGACTGATTTGAATTAAAATCAAGTCATACTTTCTCATGACCCACCTACCCACCCCTATCACAAATCCCAAGCTCTTTAGTGTACCTTATAATAGAGGCAATCTCCCTTGTTTTGCAATCATGCAACTATATACATATGTCTATATCCATCCCAAAGTAGTGCTGATTCATCACCAATTTCGGTGACAATACTTATGTGGGCCATTAAAAATCATCTTCTTCATGAATCTTTCTTTGATTGCGGTAGGGTTCTTACTTATCCTCTAACATGTAAAACAATCGTTATGCTGTATAACCGTGTGCACCATGCACGGTACACACAGTTGCAAAACGACGCCGTTTCATTAATTAAAAAAAAAAAAAAAAAACTCGTTCGAATTGTAGTTAATGATGTTAGACGGTTTCCTTTCGTATTCAAAAAGTAGGATATATTCATAAATTCATAACTATATATCCACAAATTCATAACTATATATCAAGATCGAATTACATAATTATATATTCATAATTTGACAACAGTACATTCAGAAATAATAACTACACATTCATAATTTCATATATCCATATATTCATAATTTCACAACTAGACATTTATAATTACATAACTCCATATTCAGAATTCTTAAAGTGCTTGTTCACAGAGAACTATATCCATAATTTCAAAACTATATATCCATAACTTCATAACTATATATCCATAACTTCATAACTATATATTCAGAATTGCATAACTATATATTCATAATTACACGTCGATTGGAGTTTTTGTAAAGAAAAAAAATAATTGGTGGAGTTAAACGGTGCCACTAATGGCACCGTTACTCCATAATATTAAACGGTGTCATTTTGCAACCGTGTGCAACATGCACAACATAATTTGCGCATGTAAAAGAGTATAATATGAAAATTATACTTTCATCTAAAAAGATTGTCAATCATGTGAGGTAGTGCAAAAACAAAGAAAAATTATTATTATTATTATTATTTTGGGGGTGTCCTTTTCGAACTAAACAAAAGATTTTTTTTTTTTAATTTTTTTTTTCGGGTTCAGGAGAAACAAAGTTCATGAAACTAGAATTTTTAAGAAGAAAATATAGGTTATTGCTTCAAATTTGGAATAATGATTAAAGAGGATGTGTGTATTGACTGTTGAGTAGGGATGGCCAGGGACGGAGCCAGAAATTATGTTGAGGAGGGGCAAACAATTAGGGCTGGATTCAGTGGTGAATTCGGGAATTTTTTTCGGTGGGAGCAAAAAATTAAAAGAAAAGAGAAATTTTGAAAAAAAAATGAAACACTTAAGTATAACAATAAATATTGTTGGATATTGCGAAAATAAAACATATTAAAATTTTATAAAAATATTTATAACAAAATATGAAACATAATTAATTTGATAAAACAATTCGAATATAAAACACATTATAAATTACACATCCCATTATTAATATAAAGAAAGTTATATATACATTCCATTATTAATATAAAAAAAGTGATATATACATCTCATTATTATTATATAAAAAAAAAAAGACATCTCATTATTAATATATATGTGTGGATGCCAAAATTTAATTGTGTTGAAGCAAAGATGTAGAAGATTGTGACCTTGCATTAATATAAAAAAAAGTGATATATACATCTCATTATTATTATAAAAAAGAAAGACATCTCATTATTAATATATATGAATGCCAAAATTTAACTGTGTTGAAGAAAAAATGTAGAAAGTTGTGACTGTGCAAGCAAGGACTCAAACCCAAGCCATTTCTAAATCCAAACACACCTCTTACCACCTACTTTACTAAAGCTTTTGATTACATAATTTGTTATGTAATACTTATACTTATAATGTACTGTATATACATACATACATACATATATATATATATATATATATATATATATATATATATATACAAAGGCTATATATAGGGTAGGGGTAGGGGTAGGGGTGGGGTGAGGGCGGACAGCTGCCCCCCCTTTGCCTCCGTCCCTGGGGATGGCAACGGGACGGGGCTGGGGCGGGGAATGGGGTCCCCGTCCCATACCCTGAAATAAATCCCCATTCTCCATCCCCGTCCCAGCGGGGATTTTTCGGGGACGGGGAATCCTGCCCCGTTTTTAAATTATGCTAATAGAAGAAAAAAAAGCTATATTATGATATTATCAAAAATTTAAATTTTTAAGCATGCAATCTTTAAACAAAACACATAAACACAGCATATATAAAATGCTAAATACTAATACTGTGATTAGTGTATGTTGCCTATATATATATGTTGTATAAAGACTCACTAATTACTAAATAGAACTAATACAATTAATCCATACTGTACGTGATTCCTGTATTCCAAAACGGGGTTTTTGATTTTTGATTAATAATATATATATATATATATATATATATATATATATGACAAAATTAAAGGAGATGATAACAACAAAATCTAAAATTTATTCCTCCTCTAAAATACTTAACACTGTCGCTCACTGACAAAATACAATGTAATGTATTTTCATTTCATTTCATCTTTGAACTTGGTCAGATACATGGTTGCTAGCTGTATGTAATATATATATATATATATATATATATATATATATATATATATATATATATATATATTATACGGGGAATCGGGGACGGGGAACGGGGAATGGGGATTGGGGTCGGGGTCGGGGCGGGGAATGCCCTCCCCGTCCCCGTCCCCTGCGGGGATGGGGAAATTCCCCATCCCCGCCCCCGTTCCCCGAAAAAATTTCCCGAATCCGCCCCCGTCGGGGCGGGGATCGATTTTCCCCATCGGGGGCGGGTGTAATTGCCATCCCTACTGTTGAGGTTGTTTCCGTAAGATTTGTGTTTGGCTCTATATTCATTCTATATTGATCCTTAACAAATGGAGAGGGTGGGAAAGGAATCTTCAAAATTGAGATCTAGGGGTTTCAATGCCGGTCCATCTGTCTCACCGCGAGTTTTTTTCGTAGATATTTGTGGGGACTCACAAAGCTTGCGGGCAAGGATTATGCAACTATAATCCGTCTTATGCGGGCTCGCGAGCTAGCCTGCTGGCCTAACATCAAAAAGAAAAAATTATTATATTATTATTTTATATTAAAATAATTAAACTTAAATAATATTAAATTTACATTTGTTAAGATTTTAATGTTTTGTTTGTGATTTATGAAATGTCGGCATAGCTCGCCAACTCGTGCAGGCTAAGTCCCCAAGGCCTGCATTTTCACAGGCAAAAAAACTCTAGGCCCTAACTCGTTCCACTGCGTGGCGGTTTAAGGTTAGCTGGCAGACTTCGGTCCACCTTCACACCCCTATGTAGATCTGTAAAAGTTATTTGCATGAAATGTAACTTTAAAAAAAATCCCTTAAAGGGGTCACCAAGTAGGCGAAACATGATTCCCATTCAGTCATACCTAGATGGTCACAAGCTTGATTTATTTAGTGCACACTTTTATAATTTTAGATAGTGATTGTGTATTTCTCTCCTTACCATACAAATAAAAATAAAAATTTAGTAGTTTTTCAAATGCCACTTCATTTTAATCATTAATTATAAAATTGATCAAATTTAATAATTAATTTTAAAAAATTAGCCTCTTTCGTAATATCATGTTTAGTAAATCTTTGAGATTAGTATTATTTTGAGATTAGTTATTCAAAGATGGAAATATCAAATATGGACAGAAAGCCCAAATTACTGAACATAATCAAAAGCCCAAATAAATTGGGTTCACATGCGAACTGGGCCTTAAAGAGTATATTTCCCAGTCCAGTTTTTTACCTCTAATCTCAGCCGTCCGATCTAGGGCGACAATCGTTGCTTTACCTAGGTTATAAACGCGCTCTCTCCCCCGAACACCCTTCTTTCCCAATTCTCCTCCGCAGCTTCAGCACTCAGAATTTGGAGAGAGAAAATGGTGCAGCGCCTCACTTATCGCAAGCGCCATAGCTATGCCACCAAGTCCAACCAGCACCGGGTTGTCAAGACCCCTGGTATTTCATTTTTTCCTTTATAAAGTTGTTTTTACTTTTTAAATCTATCATTTCTGGAACTTGAAATTCAGAATTTTGAAGTTACTATGGTTGTATGCATATGCTTGTATGTTTAGTTGTAGCTTCTGTTATGTTCGTGCCAAAATGTGATTTTGGGATTGATTGTATCGAAAATTTATTGTGAATAGGTGGGAAGCTAGTGTATCAAACTACAAAGAAGAGAGCTAGTGGACCCAAGTGCCCTGTGACTGGAAAGAGAATCCAAGGGGTATGCATTTCTTCTCCCAGTTTTCATAAGAGTTGAGAGTTGGGTTAGGAATATGTTTTTATTTTCTGATGTTTATACTGATTTGTGATGTGTATTAGATCATTCCTTCATGTATTTTCCCAGATGTTTTTCTTGTATATGGGTAGCGAAGAAGTTGACTGTGACTCTAAATGCATCTAACTTTATACTTTATTTGCAGCTTAGGGATTGACTATAAGTAGGGAGCTTGAGAATATATACATGTTATAGTTTGTTGGGGCTTATTCTGAATTCTATTTTGCAATTCAAATGTGGGCTTATTTTGTGAAGAGTGTCTAGCTTTGTTCTCTCTGTGGTAGTTAAACCTTTGCTGCTTACACTAGAAGCTGAGCATTATTTCCTCCTGCTAAATATGGCAAATTAACATTGTACCACGAGCGATTACCGGAATCCCCATAACCCTGCTACTATCACCTAGATGCCACCCTCTCCTACCAATCAAGTTAATGAGAAAACTATATTGATGTCTAATGTTCATGCCCAGCCTCAGCTTTGTTTACATCAAATGATGGTACTAAAAAACTATGAGAGTGCTGTGTACTATTTGTATGTATAACAATGTATGTCATAACTCTAATTGATCCACGTTCTTTCAAAATTCCTTTGGGATTCTAAAATTATTGCTGCTTCATATCAATGTTTGTTTTAACTGGTATTTTTACGCTTAGATTTTGCTTCTGGTGGGAATTCTACTTAATATGGTATCAATTAATCTTCATATGGGTATAGGATAGCATTCTGTACTTCAATTTTATTTTGTTTAGCTGAATTAAATGTTATGTTATGTTAATACCTTGTGGTTTGGGTGATACTCCGATTATTCTAAGCTTTGGAATGGAAACCTAGTTTATTAGGTAAAGTGATGCATGTCATCCTTGCTCATTGATGTTGATTTGAATTAAAAATTTTAAATAAAATTCTACCTAATCTCAGATTCCACACTTGAGGCCTGCTGAATACAAGAGGTCTAGATTATCCAGGAACAGGAGAACTGTGAACCGTCCTTATGGTGGAGTATTATCAGGCGGTGCTGTGCGGGAAAGGTAAGTTCTTGTCTACATCTGGCATGCTTTCCAGATTGTTTTTATTTTTACCTTGTGTGTGCAATTATGCAAAAGATATTACTAGAGTGATGATCCAATCTACTGTGTTGTATTGGATTTGTAGGATTATCAGAGCATTCTTGGTGGAAGAGCAAAAGATTGTGAAGAAGGTGCTGAAGATTCAGAAAGCCAAGGAAAAGCAAGCTGGCAAGAGCTGAAGATATAGCCTGAGTCAGGTGTAGTTTTGGATACAGTGCTAAAATGAATCATGAAAAATGTATTCTGAGGTTTTTGGACTTGATATTGTATTTTGCTTGCCCTTTATTGAAACATGACTGTTTTCCTTGAGTTTGTTGAAAAATCAATTATCTTTGTATCTTGTTTTCTTCTATTCACACTAGCCTAGTGTAACTTTTCCAAGTTTTAAATTTCAGCAAGAGCAGTTTGATTATGGACAATCCAAAACTTATTCTCAGTTTGTAACAAGGAACAATATTTATTATAGAATGGCAAGTGATTTAGTAATGGACTTTGCCCTTGTGTACAATTGTACGAGGACCGGGTACGTTCTTATGGATTTGGTTGTAGTGAAGGAGCATTGGACTTTTATGGTCCAAATCCTCTTCAACATTGTCAGAGGATATGCCTTTGAGCCTCAACGGCAAATGCTATTCTTGTGTAGTAGCAACTTGGCCAGGTTCTTACTTGGGCGGTGTGGTTGAGTGGAAGGGACTTATTCATCCGGATTTGATTCTTGGCGTTTGGTATGGAGACTGGAAATCCTGTGTACATCTACAAAAAAAAAAAAAAAAAAAAAAAAAACCCTTAGCCAGGTTCTAAAAAGCCAAACGCCCTTTTGTTGGTCATCCATTGTGTACCTCTCTGGTTGCTTGTTCCCTGTTTTTATACATTAAGACTAATCTTAAATCCCCTATAATCCTGCCAAGAGTTGTTAGAGGTGTTTTTATACTTGTTAGTAAGAGCATCCTCATAAGTGGTTTTTGGTGTTGTTTTTGAGTCCCATGTTGAAGTGGAAGAGAGGGAGAAGAGAGAAAGGAACCTTGGTTTTTGATGAAAGACCAAGATTTTTGTCAGCTTTGTGGGCCTTACCAAGAAAGAAGACAAGGAATTTGAGCCCAATCCGGTCCGTGTACTGCACATGCCTGACTGGGTGTGTAAATCTTTATTTTTTTTTATTTTTTTTTATTTTTTTCTCTTCCCCTCCATCTTTTCTTTTCTAGTCAGACTTGCAAAAACTCCTCAAAAGGTACAATTATTGGTGATGCTCTAAGAGCACCATTATCAATGATTTTTTGTTGGTTTTTGTAGATGAGAAAACCGAAGTTGAGTTTTTAACTAGTGCGGGAAGTTTTTGTTTTTTTGTTTTTTTTTTTTTTTTAACTCCTGCAAAAAATGGGTTTTATTGAGTCCCACTCTGATAATAAATGACAACACAAGTTCCTCTTTCTCCGCGTGTTGGAGACGCAGCGCGCCACGCGCTCGCTGACGTGTGACTGCTTTACCTTATTTTTTTAAAAAAATTTGTGTTAGCCTGTCAGATTTTTTTTGTACCTGAAAGAAAAAGGAAAAAAAAAGAACAAAATTAAAATCTAAAAAAAAAAAATATTTAAAAAAAAAAAAAAAGAGAATTACGGGGGCAACTCTCCTTCATTGGGTCCCACCAATAACTGCAAAATTCCCCTTTTAAAAGGATCAACTCCCTAAAGGCGTTATCCAATCCATAGAACAACTTATCCGCAGCTTTCTCTGGGGTGCCAACGAAGGTGAAAGAAGATGCAATTTGGTCAATTGGAATACAGTTACAAAACGCAAATCCAATGGAGGTCTGGGCGTCCGGTGACTTGGTGAGATGAACATCGCTTTCCTTGCCAAGTTAGGATGGAGGCTAATGATAGACGAAAATTCTCTATGGGCAAAAGTGTTTAAAAGCAAATATTCCATCTCAAGCTCCTCCCCGTTATCATGGCGTCCCAAACGCAACATGTCTAATGCTTGGAAAGGAATTCTCATGAGTGTCCCCGTTCTCCAAGCAGGTCTGAAAAAACTGGTCCGAGATAGGAAATACACCCTTTTTTGGCAGGACATTTGGCTAGACAACCAACCCCTAAGCGAGAGTGCCACCAACGCTATCCCAGAAATCAGTCTTACTCATAGAGTACAAGACTACTGGAATGACTCTGCCGGCTGGAAGTGGGATGCCCTCAATGACCTCCTCCCAGAAAGTATGCTCGACAAGCTTGCTACTACCCTCATTGTTACAGATAATACCCTCCCCGACCAGCTTGTATGGAAGAACGAGTCATCTGGCTGTTTCTCAGTGTCTTCAGCGTATAACCTAGCTGCCAACGACCCAGACTCAGCTGATATGACCGCCTGGACAAACATTTGGAAACTAAAGGTTCCGAATCGCATGAGGATGTTTTTGTGGCTTATGAAACATGACAAAGCAATGACTAATGCCAATAGAGCTAAGAGAGGTTTCACCCTCAACATGAACTGCTGGGCATGCCCTGCGGCTATAGAAGATACAGAACACGTTCTGAGAAGATGCCCAAAGGCGGAAGCAGTCTAGCTACGCCTCCTCCCTGATTTCACGACCAAATACAACTCCAGCACCTTTAGTGAATGGTTCAACCGAGGAATCACCGACAATTCTCATGTTAAATTCCTTGCTAGCACAGCTAATCTCTTCGCCATCATCTCGTGGTGGCTCTGGCGTTGGAGAAATGATGCAATATTCAGAAATCAAGAGCTCCCCCTGGATTCCAAGTGTAGATGGATCACCAACCAACTTATGAAAATAGACTCAGCATTCGCAAAATCCTCAGGTATCAATTCCCAGACACTAACCCCCTCTTGGAAATGTATCTCCTGGATCAAACCTCAGGGGAACTTTATTAAGGTCAACGTCGATGGAAGCTCAAAACCTGACCTTAGTCGAGCTGGTTGTGGAGGCGCTGTGAGAAACAGCTCTGGAATTTGGCTAAAAGGCTTCACATGCAACCTTGGCTCTTGCCCCCCACTAATGGTGAAAGCATGGGCGCTACTTAAAGGGATCCAGCTTGCAAAATCCCTCAAACTTGATTATGTTATTTTCGAAAGTGATTGCAAAGAAATCGTGGATGGACTCTTGTCTAGCAATTTGGAATACTCAAGCGTGCATAACCTCTTGCTGGCATGTAAGCAAGAACTCACCGGGATCAGAGACTGGAGAATTGCCTGGATCTACCGCGAACAAAACATGGTTGCGGACACCCTTGCCACAATGGCAACTAGCCGTCCCCGCGGCTTTGTTTGCCTCCCTCAACCACCTTCTGAGATCCTACACCTCCTTATGAGGGATTGCAACCAGTTCCCTCTCTGGAGAAATATTCTTGTATAAGTAAACGCTGTCACCTCACTTGTATATAGATCTTCTGGGGTCCCCCCCTCCTTTATAAATAATAAAAAAAAAAGGATCAACTCCCTCTCTTTTCTCCATCTCACCAACATTTCTTAAACTTTGTGCAGGATCCCCTTATTAGGGTTGCTCTAAGAGCTCCACTAACTTTTTGTAGGGCAGGCACCTCCCCCTCAATCTCATGGAAAATGACCCAATTCCACTTAGGGATCTACCAAATTTGAATACAATTCTGTTCTTGTAGCCTTGGGCTACCAAGAACATTCTTCAACCTCACAAGTCACATCCTTCTGATTAGCATTAATGCTCTACGGAGTATTACACTTCTGATAAAGCATTCAATCGGATATTGGGATTGTAGTGTTCAAATTAACACCAATAGTAGGTAAAATATTTTACAACTTAACATGCTTAGCAAAGCTCAGAGCTTGAATAACACAGCTATACAAAACATTGAAAAATGGCATATTTTCTCTTTGCTTATTACCCAATCAGAAAAGAACATTATTGCCTCCCCACTCCCCAGTAACCTGTCAACTTCACAGCTCTAACAAAGCTCTTGTAGCCATTTCTCCTTGAAGTACTCCCGAAAAAACGTAAAGCCCTAAAATACTAAATGTCTATAATCAATCTTTTGTCGCCGTCTCTATCAAGATGCTTGTATGAGTTCTTTGATGTCATATCCTTGGAGCTACACAACACACAATATAAGAAAAACTCAGGCACGGAACAAAGTAATCCCAAATAGCCAATGACCTTGTGGTCTAGTGGCTCTCCCATATGGAGGTCATAGGTTCAAGCATCTTTGTGCTTCAGTAGGTTGAGAAAGTAGTTATGAACAGATACTGCATTGTAATAGAGTCAGTAGTACTAAAAAAAAAGTATTCCCAAATAAGTGTTGGAGATTAAGTGATTACCTGAAGGAAGGTCAGAAGCAAAATAACTCCGGAGTTCCAAAAAGCATGAATAGTAATTGGTGTAAGTAGATTTCGGGTTTGAGCATATGAAAATCCTAATGCAGTACCTAAATATATAGTTCACAGGCGTGAGTAAATGGAAAAGATTAATATGAAGAGTAGGAAAATTCACAGGTCAATTTGATTTAAAACATTAAGTATATCAAATTAATACCGAGTACAAAAAGCTGAGGGAATTCTCCCGGTGTCAAATGTGCAGCAGAAAATACAGCAGCGCTGATAAGGACAGCAAGTGGGCTAGGCAGCCTGCAGGGAGGACAAAGCAAGGGAATGCTATTATGAGTCAACTGGCGAAAGATGCCTGTGCATGAAATCAAACATCCATGACACAAAATATATACAATAACAAAAAATTATTTACATTTATTTAAATATGCATTGTCACTGTTTTATCAAATAAAAAGTTGTCAATTGTTTTGTTCGTTGATAATTAATTGATATTTATTTTACTGATTAAATAAATATTCCAAAATTTAAGGGATGAAGACGAAAACCAAGATCGCTAAATAAAGAATCATTATTAATTTTTGTCAATTTCAAAACTAATCCTTTAAACCTAGCAAATTTACATCCTAAAAGTGTAAATTATACTTGAAACATATACCTCAAATTTAGAGAATTATGAAGTTAAATTTGATACTAGATTCCCTCCATTATTGAAATTTTGACAAAGGAAATAAATAAAAAAAGAAAAATGATGAATTTGATTATTTGATTTATTTAATGAATTTGAGCTTTAATTTTTCTTTTTTTAAAGAAAAAAAGAAAAAAGGATGGGGCCAAAAGTGTATTTTATCTCTATTTTATATAATAATAAATGCATATATATACTAAATTTTTTTGGGAGGGGGAAGGTCCCCCTACCCCCAAGGGTGGCTCCGCCACTGCACACTGCATTAATGGTAAAAAAAAAAAAAAGTGCTTAAAACTAATAGTTTTTCTTTCAGTTCGACAATATACCACAGTCACCTCCATACTATATTTTGCAAAGAACACTTCATTGTCAGAGGAGAAGGATTTACCACTTCGTCAGGGATACCATCAAAAAGCCTC